CTTTTATGATAAAAAAAAACAGATGTAACTTAAAATTCATTTTTTACTAAGAAAGATTAATTTAAATTTAAATAAATTAAATTATATTGCATAAACCTTTTTAGCTTTTTAGTTAATATAATACAAATAAATAATAAATTACTTGACTTATAAGTCGTATTAACCGATATTGGTGAGAGATCGAAAATTAATTAATTTATCAAATTCAGCTTAATATTACTAAATTTATTGTAATTGCGTGTTTAAAGAATATGAAGAAAATTGTATGAAGCACAGAACGACATTCGACAGACGTCCGAAACAGCATGAGAGGGCATTTGCTACGCTCTCTCGTGCCGCGATTTGTCCGCTCAATTTCACGGTTCTTTCGGGAAAAATGGGAAAATCTCTCCTCTTGGCCATAGCAACGAGTGTGGGAAATAGACCGCGTTATTCTCCCGCGGTTGACTCTGCGACACGCCCATGGCGAACGCGCGGATTAAAACGTTCCTTTCAGTCTTATGCTCGCCGCGCTGGTAACGAACGGTTTAATGCTAGCGAATAATCATAGGGGACTGTAGTTTAATTCAATTACATTATATTTGAGTTGATGGGAAAAACACAAACAAAATACGTGTGCACGCGTGCTACACGTAATATAAAATTAGATTAATAACAAAAATAATAATTTTAAATCTTTCAATGTGTGTGTTTGTAGAATTATAATATTAAAATGACAACATATAGCTCGATTTATATTAGATATTTTTACAATATTTTGCTTAAATGATATTTTAATAATATTATTTTTAAATGAAGAAATATATTACATTTATGCGATTTATTTAAGTAAATAATACATTCCTATTTTGAAAATAACTTTTCAAAATAAATTTTAATTTTTTTTAGATAATTTTATTTTACATTTATTTAGGTCTATCTGTATTTGTGCATATCATGCATAAATTAAGTATAGCTGAATTTCCAAATATATTTATATAGTAATTACTTATTTTTTATCTGTTTTTATACCCTGTTTTGCAAAAAGGTGATACAGATTCCCTTTTTTAATAAATAAAGACAAAAATATATATTTAAAAAAGACCAAAAAATTGATAAAAAATTGATTACAGACATTATCATGATGCGTTATGATTTCAAATAGTAAAATATATAATTATTTTTTCACTGAATGGGTTAGGTGAATTTCCTCGATATCCCATGATTTATTAGAGTTCTAATGCTTTAGATATTAAAAGAATTTAAATATTTTAACTTTAAATATTAAAAATGCTACATTATAAAAAGATCGAGTCTTAAAAATACATTTATTTCCTTTATCTTTGATAGACCTGCAGAGTGTCCTCGATCTGTCCTTTGCGACGGTAATCGAAGCCACTGTCACCACCGCAATTTCGGATAGCCTTCCGGAGTGCGTCCGCGGCATGATTATTAGTTTTCCGCTTCGTCCGGAAGCCGTCGGCTCGTTCTCATCGACCGCAAAGAACGTGGTAACGTCGCCGTCCACAGCTCATCGTACGTTACCACGCTGTATAGGGGAGAGTCGCTCTTTCCGTGTCCTCCGGGTAGGCGTGGCGGCGTCGGGAGAGATGATTTATCCCTCGCGCGAGGCGCAGTAACTGCCGAGATCGCTGGCTAAACGACCGCGCCGGTCCTTTTCGTGTATTAACCGTAATGCACTCTGCCTTGCTATTGTGTACACTGTATACGATCCCGATCCCTCCCTCCTTCCCCTTTTGCTCCTATGAGATCCCTTCAACCCGCTTTTCAACCACTACTGACGATCTTTCGTGTTTTTCCACCTCTCATCATCTTCTTCTATATCATTTTAATATTCTTGTAAAATTTTTTCGTTATTTGCAAAAAATTTCTGATTGTCGTAAAAAATAGAACAGAAATGTTACTTTATTAAGATTATCTCTTCTGTAGCTTGTTATTGTTGCTCTTTGCTTTTAAGACTAAATTGATAGCTAGATACTGTTACTTTATATTGTCGTTTCATTGTCAGAAGTAACTTTTTATTTTTGGACAATATGTCACATTGATCCAGAAATGGCAAAATAATATAATTTTGATGAATAGTGTATATTTATACCGTAGTGTGGCGTTTCTATTCAACTATATATCTATTTTTTAAGGATTTTAATAATCATAATATTATTGTAAGAAAAATCATAGTTAAAAAAACAAAACTTTATGATAACACTAATTTACAAAGTTTTATATAAAAATAGAAGACCGTTTTTAGAATGTTTGAAATATAAAAGACATTTTCAGATTTGTGAAATATAAAAAAATATATCTTTTTCCAATATATACAATATAAATATATACAATACAAACAAATTTTATTAAAATTGGAAAACAAACAGAAGAACGTTTAATTTTTGTTTTTATATGACTTTGGATTAAGTTCACTTATTAGAGTTCAAAAGCATTCCCCTCAATATCTCTGATAATTTTTTAATTATCTCAAGTCTTAATAGAAACATTCGTCTTAATCATATTTGACAGATTTAATATTTGGCAAGAAATGCTATATCTTAAAAATTGAAATTAAAAGGCTATATCTTAAAAATTGAAATTAAAAGGCTATATCTTAAAAATTCAACCTAATAAAATTTTTTGCGACGGCTGTTTCGAACTCAGCATTCCAAAATACGAAAAAAATGATTTCCCTTTCTTGCACTAAAAATTATTTAAATTTTGTATAAACTAGTGTAATTATTACGGTGTCTCAAAAATAATATTATGTATTTTAAAAAGTATATAATTATTAAATTAGATAACTCTTGTTAATGTATGCTCTTATAACTTACCTAAATAGAAGAGATCACCTGTCATCAATTATCGCGTCGGGAAAAAAACTCGGTGCTCGCGTATTTCCATCGTGCTTCCGCTTCAAAAGTCACGGCTGTTCCGAGTCAAAGGAGGCTAAATCGAATTAGCCGGCTGACACATTGACGTGTTTTGCATCGTGTATCGTCCTACAGTTGCAGCGGCCTGGCCGAATCCGGCATATGGGGTCACGCCTACGAGGTGAACGAAGGGGGGCCCGGATTTCGGCCGTCGATCCCTTTTAGAGGCTCGGGGCCCGCACGCGCCGTAGCCTGCGAAAATGCGCAATCCGTCGATTTGGGACGACGAGGTGATCCCGTGGGAGCACCCGATGACGATGAGTCGACCCGGGACGGCCCCCTCGAGGACCGCGACAAAATTGTCAAAACAAGGCAAACGCTAGGGGCTTTCGATTAGCGATTCTTTGTCGACCGAATCGGCAGAGTCGAAAGTCGGCAAACTAACTTGGAATATGTAATCTATTATTTAAAGCCCGTTACGTCGATAATGCTGCACTTTAGATACAAGACTCTGGGAGAATCCAATATCCTGATTTAAGATTTGTTACGTCATAATTTACTTGATTTCTAAAGATTTCTTATACTTTAGAATATGCATCAAATCAATTACACTAATTATAGCCTAGCTACCCGACTTTTAAAGCTCATACTTTTCCAATTTTATTGCAACAATACAATTTATATAAATTTTCCTTAATATGTAAACATTTTTGGTTGCCAAGGGATTATGTAAGTGTTTCGTTTCTTTAACGAGTCGTCCTCCTTGATCAGAGTCACAGTTGTGCCGGGGGTGGGTATAAGAGGCAAACGATATATATTTCGGATTATAGTCGCACGTTTTATTGCCGACACGATATTACAACGTATGCAAGTCTATAGCCCAACGTTTTGTGCGCTTCCGCTTTATTGTAATGTTTCGCCGGTGTAATGCAGCTGCAATGATCGCACGGCTGATCGATACGCGATATCGCTGCCACGTAATAGTTGCCGGCCGAACTGAAACCCACTGCTTTAAAGTAAACTATCTACAGCAAGTACAAGTTACGGTGTTTATGCCAAGTTATCTACGTGTACGTGTATATTTACAAACTTCCAGGACTTGCTATTTACTATTTACAATGCGCGCTATATAAAGTCGGAACTCTCATTTTCAAAGAGGATAAAATGCTTAATCCGAAATCATCTTAATCACCTTATCTTTTTTACGTAAACGATCATTTAAGGTGTTTTTGTACCTTAATTAACAATCACTGTTATTAATAATATATTGTATTAATTATTTTCCGATTTGTTAATATTTGAGAACATTATGGATATGGCTTCACTCACAATTCTCTCAAAAAAGTAAAAGTTATTAAAAAAGAAAATATCATAAATGATGATTTTATAACAATTCACATTTTTTAAATTAAGATATAAAAATACTCCAGATATTTAGTCTTATTGGGTCAAGAGTTCATTAAAGTGATTTTCGTGTATTTTAGAAAATTGTAGAAAATTGGATGTAATAGAAAGCGAATTGAATAGGGAGAAAGCTAATATATTGACATAATCAAGAAAATTAAGTTTTCAAAGTCAGAAGAGAAACTACTTTTTTTTACCTCTCTCTCTCTCTCTAGTAGAAAATAATTGACTAACTAAGTAATATCAGCAAAAAAGATTTTTAACATGATTAAATTATTTTTGTCATTTTCATTATACAACCTTTAAAAAGATACTCTTCTTAAGTTAACGATTTTGACAATTTTTAAAGAGATATTAGATTACTTTTGCTAATTGATAGAATAATGTTTGTATATTTATAACTCATATAGTAATAATTCGAAAATCACAGTTTGAGTTGTATCACTTTCAAAATGAGGAAGCAATTTTATAATCATCATTAAAAATATAAAGGAATTACTTAAAACCAGGAATACCAGAATAACTTCATGCTATTGTTGTTTATGCACAGTAGTTTGACTTAAAAGAAAAATTATTCATTTCAGTGTGCTCTTGTCTGATCGAGCAGCATACAATGCAATAGATAATAGTTATATGTATAAGACAAAGAAAGAATTCGTGTTTATCTTCATATAATGTTTCACATTTGTCACATAGCTGTTTTTAATTTTTTGATTGATATTATTATATATTCAATTTTAATGAGAACTCGACTTCATCTTATCACGCGTGCGTTTTACACCAGTGATCGATCTACCTCTATTTATTTCTTTTATATTCTTCTGTCAAATATCCAAGTTTATCCGTTCGCGACGTTCACTACCTTCCGGAGGATCCGAGACCGGCTCGATGCGCTGGTACCGCAAAGGCCCTTAGACCACCCCCGACTCCGATTTCCATCCCCATGCCGGCGCCCAGAGGTGGCTGTACCTGACCGCTCAAATTCACTGATGTATTCACTAGTCCCAAGGCATCGCTCAACACTGACGACGACGCTCCCGAGGACCCACCCTCGCCCGAAGGCGTCGGTCTCGCACGCGGTGCTCTCGCGCACTTCTCCAGATGATGGTGATGCGATCTGACCGCTAAACGGCTCACGTGCACTGGTATCGGTACCACAATTCTTGTACCGGAAGTGTGTTGTCCCGTGGCACCATTGTGGCGTCCAGAAGCACTGGAGGCCGTCATGGCTGCCGCCGCCGAACCGACGCCGACGCCTCCGCCGCTCAGTCCGGCCTTCACCCGTTTCCATTTGGCACGTCGATTTTGGAACCAGATTTTCACCTGCGCCGAAGTTATACATCATCGATTTTAAAGTTATGTAGTTCTCTTAATAGAAAGAAAGAAGTTGTAAGAAGCTTGTATGATAATGCAATTTGGTATAAATAAAGGAAAAAGCTAAAATGTATGTAAAGACATTGGAGTCTGTAACTAGACTTGGTGGAATAAAAGTTTAGGACACTCGCAAGATATCCGGATTCGATCTCCGGCCAAGATAATATTTTTTGCAATACAATTATTTACAAATTGTAATATGTAATTCAGCGTTATGAATTTAACAATGTAATACACATTAGTGCATCCAATTAAATTCACTTGGTTTGTAATTTTGTTTAAATTATTTGAATTCATGATGTGCATTTTCTAAGATTTTTCGTAATTTTTCTTTTTTTTAAATTTTTATTGCTTTGGTAGTTTTAGTATTAATTAATATTATTGTGAATTATTAATTATTAATATCGTAAATTTTAATATTTCTGTAAGACTTTTACGTAAATAAAAATTAATTGATCAATTTAATCATTTATATATTGTAACAAAAATTACAAAAATTCTGAAAAAAATGCGTATTATGAATTTCAATAATTTAAACAAAATTGCAAACTTATTTTGATTGCGCCAATAATTTTAATATTATTATTATTGTAAATAATTAATTATTAACATAATATAGTAGAGAGCGCCTAAGGATTGATCAAAGTTGGAAGTTTCGAATAATATAATATTCTTGGTTCATGTATTTAATTAATATCAAATGTGACTGTGCGTCGAAATGTTCGGACATTAAAACACAATCAACCTGAGATGCTAATAATCGCGAGCCGAAACGCTCGGACAATCGGATTAATTATACATTATTAACATAATTGAATATTTCTATATAAATCTCCTCTACTTTAAGGAAAATTCAATTTTATTTTACTGAATCCTAATTTATTTTAAGATCTTATTTTATAACTTCTAATTTAGCTCTTGATATTAAGCTCTAGCTGTATGTACAGCTCATCGATTATCACTTTAGTTTGGCACTGACCTGCACCTCCGACAGTTTCAATGCGTGCGCTATGTGCGAGCGTTCTGTTAGACTCAGGTACTTCTTGGCGTGGAATTCGCGCTCCAGCTCGAGCAGCTGTTCCGAAGTGAACGCGGTACGTCGCCGACGAGCTTTGTTGCCACCGGCACCTGATGATGATGAATTCTGTCCATTCTCTAAAGGTCTGCTAGGACTTGGGGCGGCATTGCCGGCACCGCTGACGACGCCGTCGGAAATGTCATGACTCTCGCCGGAACCCGCAGCTCCGCCACCCTCTTCGTCGCTTTCGGCTGATGCACGACCGTTCTCAGATCCTGGAACATATAAATAATTATATAAATGATGATTATACATTAAATGATTATGAGACATCTGTCAAATATAATCTTTCATTTTCAATCTTTCATACGTATATATAATACCAGCTTGTAACATAATAATTAATAAAATAAAACAAAGAGCATACTTTCGACAATAAAATAATGTATTGCAAAAATAATTTACATTACGTTTAGTAATGTGTATTTTGTTAGCAACACTCATCGAATCGCTAATTACAAGGATAGGTAATAAAGAATGTAAAAAATTCGCTTCTCAATTACTTCCATGATTAATCTATAACTGAAGTTTGTATAAGAGCAAATATAATTATATTCGGCATTTGAAATGAATATAGTCGTCAAATAAAACTGCACAATTCCAAGGATTGAAATCTACGACTAACTTTCACGACATTAAGTCATCAACAGAGTTTATCGCTATCGAGAGAACATCGCCGCGGTATGTATAGCCTGGCGGCTATTTAATATGCGGAGCAGATTGGTCGTTCCTTCATAAAAGTTGCGTTCTTCGATCGTCGACAACGTTTTCCCGTTCGTAATTTCCCGTACAACGTTTTTTTTTTCCCCCTTCATCCGCGAGACAGTTGAGCACGGCATGCAATATGCACTGAGATACGAAACAAAGTTACCACGGAGTTTGATGACTCCGTCGGTTCATTATTTATTGAAAATTATTCCTACAGAGCACGGTTATAAGTTCCACTCGAATAGCTTGTGTTCGGCTGATTCGACGATCGGCTGGATGGGAACGGAAATTTGCGTCAACAAATGTCTACGACAGAAGCATTTATCAAAGATTACTTTTGGCATCAAAGAAGACTTTTATATAAAGAAAACTAATCGACAATTTAAACATTTCGAGTTGAAAATATCTCGGTTTTCGAAATAATTTTAAATAAGAAGACTATAATTTGTTCTCTGTAACAATTTTGAAAGTGATTAATACATTGAGAAAAATAGTCTGGTTGGATTAAATAATAAATCTGGTAGAAAATGGAAAGACGAATCAGAATTTTCTAGTTAAATCTACTAGTAGAAATAGCTAGAATTCTGAGTGATGAAATCATTCTGGTAAAAATGAGAATTCTGATAAGATTAGAAGAATAGA